GAGCTGGGAGATATTCTCCACCCGAGAAGCAGCAACCTTTGAGCAGCTACGATTCCTACACCGATGCGTTCGTGAGGGAGTGGCATCGAAGAGCCTACGGTACAGAACCCTGGTGAATACTAAATTGGCCAGAAACGTGATGCAACGCTTTCGCAGGCAAATGACACGTGTATTGATCAACGAATGCCACCTACGCCTTCGCAGGTGCCGGTCTGTTATTGAAAAAATGAAGGAAGAATGTATGACACGATTTGGTGAACCCGTTGTCGATTCCCTCGAACGAACAATATCAACTCTGGCAAAAGCGAGACAGGAACAAAAGCGCAAGAGCTTAGACCAGAAGTTCGGAAAATTAAAATCGGAATCAAACATGATACACAACCTATCGTCTAGGCAGTTAACGGAAATAGAACTAAGCGTGCTGAGCCATGAAACCAACTTTGATACGGTAGATGCTAAGCCAGCCGAATTTATCACGGTACTGGAAACCATGCTAGTACAAACCAACGCAACCGACGAAGCGAAACACACAGTGCGCGAGGAAGTCACCTCCCTATTAACGACGAGTAGGCCCACCAATAACATGTCACCAGCGGAAGAAGAGGCGATGAAGAGATTAAAAATGAACGAAGATCTAATAGTGCTACCGGCCGACAAGGGAAGAGCAACGGTCGTGATGGACTGCAGCGATTACAATGCGAAAGCGCAAGCTCTCCCCGACGACCAACAAGCCTACAAACCCACGCCTTCCTCACAGGCTAAATCGATGATCAGCCAGCTAACTGGTCTCCTGAATCGGCTCTGACGCAGCAGCGTGATATCGCAAGACGAATGGCGACAAACCAAACCAACCGACATAGCACTGCCTCGATTTTATGGAGTGCCCAACGTTGCACTCCGGCCAATCGTGGCAATGAAAGGCAGCGCTACTTACAACCTATCTAATTTGATGTCACGAAAACTAAACTTTCTCCGAGAGGGCTTAACGACCTCAATCATTTCGGCTTCCCAATTTCTAGCCGCTATCCGGGCAGAACTATTCAACCGGATCAAAACATGGCATCTTTTGATGTCGTTTCAATATTTAAATCTATCCCTCCGAACCTGGCGGGCGACGTCCTACGCAAACGGCTCGAAGAGACGTACGATGAATCGAGGGGTCCTCTAAAAATTGACCATCTCATGAAACTCATAGTCTTCTGCCAAATAAATTTTCTTCACATGTAATGACCGAACGTACGTACAGACCAAAGTGGCGCCGATATGATCCCTAATTTCAGTCTCATTGCAGGACTAGTCTTACAGGAGCTGGAAAAAGTCGCCTTCGAGAAACTTGAACATGTATTCTGGTGCCGATACGCGGGTGACACTTTCGTTATAATCGAACGGAGCAGGCTAGCAGACTTCCGAAACCTGCCTAACGGTATCTTCCCTGACATCCAATTCACAAGGGAGGAAGAGAGTGCCAGACTACTACCGTTCCTGGATGTCCTCGTCACGCGCAGACCCAACGGGGAACTCAGCACCACGGTTTATAGAAAGAGACTAACATAACCCAGGTGCTCAGCTTCCATAGCAACCACCCAATAACGAATAAACGTGGCTGTATTAGAGCACTATTTCAGAGGGTGAAGACACACTGCAG